ACACACACACCCCGCCTCCCCCAGCACCCCTGGCCATGGGGTGAGCAGGGCCGGCTGAGCCCGGTGGGGTCCCCACGGCAGAGGGGGTGCTGCGGGCTGCCAGCGGGGAGGGGGAGGCCACAGGGTGAAGGACGCGCAGGAATGTCATTACCCAGAGCCCAGGCGCGTTAGTGGGAAGCAGAAAGCCAAGCTGGGGAATTGGTTTCCATTAGGGCAGCAAAAAGCTAATTTGGCGGCTGCAGTTGCCGCGTGTCAAGGGGCTGTTAACCCCCTGCGCCCTGGCCCAGGCTCAGCGTGCACCGCCGGGCTTCTCCCTCGCCCCCGCTCGCCTCCTGCCGCCGGGGCGGCTGTGCTTGCCTGAGAGCCAGCCACGGAGTCAGCTCTGCTCCTTGCCAAAGGCTGTGAACAGGCCACAGCACTGGTGCCTGATGGAGACGCTCGTTAAGGTGCCCTTCATCTGTCCTGCCCATCCCTGCTGATGCTTGAAGCCAGGGAGAGCCACAACTGCTCCCTCCTGCCTTGTGGGGGCACCCGCTTGCCCTGGGGGCACCTTGAGCTGTCCCCTTGATGCAGGGGGGCCACAACCCCCGACATGAGGCTGCTGAGTGGCATATCTCCTTTTACCCTTGCAGTGCTGTGAAGCAAGGATAGTGCTGGCTGCTTCAGCTGCCCTGCAGCTCCCCAGGCTCAGACGGGCACTGGTGTACAAGGGCTGCAGCCTCAGCAAGTGCTAATGCACTGTATCGATCCCCAGAGCCTCTGAGCCGGGAGGGGGGGGTGGAGGAGGAAGGAGGGCTGCTGCCCTTCGGCTGCATTTGAGCATGTTTCCCCAGCTTGATGCTGCCAGGAGTGGGGGGGCCACTGGCTGGGGACGCAGCCGGGTGGCCTTGTGACTGCAGGGTGGGTTGTACCTAAGGCAGAGGCCTGACTGTGTCCCTTTGCAGGGCTGAGCGCGCAACGGCAGTGCTGCTGGCGGACCCCTGTTTCCAGCTGCGCTCCATCCAGTACCTGCTGGGCCACGCCGAGCCCTCGGCCCTGGCGGCTGCTGCCCCAGCCACAGACAAGCGCCATTTCTCCCTGCACACCTGTAAGTGTCTGCACTGCGCTGGGAGCTGGGCTGCACTCGCCACCCGGCCATGGCTGGGATGGAGAGACAGGGCTGCTGGTGTCTGTGTCCCCTGCGACATGTCCCAGCCCCCTTAGCCCTGGGTCCATGGCTCCCCCGCTGTCCCCCAGCAGTGGCACTTGGGATGGGGCTGTGTCCGGTGCCCACTTTTGGCAGCAGTTTTGTCCCCTTGCAGCACCCAATGTCCAGCTTGCTGTGGGGATCCCTGTCCCCAGCACCAGGTTCCCTGTCCTGGCTGGTCCCTGACGGCAGCTGCAGCCCCTTGTGCATCGCCCAGCAGCCTCAGGGCAGCCCAAGGGTCACATTCACCCCATGCATGCCCCATTTGTCCCCACAGACACAGAGTACATCAGTGCCGAGGAGCTGGCGAAGGTGGACAAGATGCTGAGCCACCTGAGCGAGGAGTCCAAGCAGGCAGCTGCCACCACACTGGTGAGTCCCCCCAGCCTGGTCTTGATGCTCAGTAGCAGCCCTGGCTCCCGGCACAGCTGCCCTGGGACACAGGGGTTTTGCTGCCACCGCTAACCACCTGGTGCCCCCCCCCAGCCCACCAGCGAGGAAGACCTGTGCCCCATCTGCTACGCACACCCCATCTCAGCCATCTTCAGACCCTGCTCCCATAAGTCATGCAAGTGAGTAGCTCGCATGCACAATCCCCACCAGGGCGACTGCCAGCCCCTGGCCGCCCCATGCCATGCAGGGGGGGAGCTCACACTCTTTCCTCCTCTGTCCCAGAGCCTGCATCAACCAGCACCTGATGAACAACAAGGACTGCTTCTTCTGCAAGGCCACCATCACGGGGGTGGACGACTTCACCAAGCCAGCCAGCTCGTAGCACCCAGCCCCGCACCACAGGCTCCCCCAGCTGAGCAGGGCGGCCCCCCGCCACACGCTGGCTTCTCCCCAAATGCTTGCCCTGCCCAGGGCTGCCAGGCCCTCACCCGCAGGGCCAGGACCCAGCACGGGGCCGCACCATGGGGCATGGGGCTGCAGGGAGGGAGAGGCCGGTGGGGGAGAGGCCCGATGCCAGGTTCTGGGGTCAGCATCCCTCTCACCCAGCGCCTGGGCCATGGCAGTCCCTCTGCCCCGTGGGTCATTCTCAGGGAGGGGTGCCCAAGGCCTCAGCTCTGCGGCAGCCCTGGGGACACGCGGCAGCCCCAACACAGGGGCAAGGGGGCCGGGCTGGGTGTTCGGGCTGTTAACTTGCCCCTGGCTGGGGGCTGACTTCATGAAATGCAGCATTAAATTATTCTTCCTTACGTGGTGCCCTGAGACACGGGGAGGGGAAGCCAGGCCAGCCCTGGCAAGTGACCCAGCTCTCGGGCCATGCTCAGATGACACTCAGCGGTAGATGGAAATATAAATATTTAATCCAAGCAGAGCCGGGAGTGCAGGGCCCACCAGGGGCTGCTACATGATGATGCGCGGCTCTGGCACGGACTCGGCGATGGACTTGTGTGGCAGCACGTTGGCCCCATTGAGGTAGAGCTCGTCGTTGACAATGACATCCTCGCCCAGCACTGTCACATTCTCCATGCGCACCTGCCCCAGAGAGGCCCCGTCATGCCTGCCCCGGCTCAGGGCTCAGTGCCACGCTCCTGCCCGCAGGCGCTAGTGCACCCCTCCATCCCTTCGGCCGCAGCCCGAGGAGTCAGGAGGGCAAGAGCTGAGCCTCGATCCCCCACAGGGGCACCCACATCCTCACCCACTGTCCCACGGAGCAGCTCCAGCCCACAATGCAGGACTCCAGCCAGGAGTGCGAACGGATGCGGGCCCCCTTCAGCACGGTGCAGCGTTTGATGCGCACCCCGTCCTCCACCACCACGCCGGCCCCGATTGTCACGTTGGGGCCAATGACGCAGTTTGCCCCGATCTTGGCGCTGGGGTCCTGGAAAGAAGAGGGGCTGCACCAGGGCCGGGAGGGCAGCCAGAGCTCTCGGCACGGCCTGCGCCATTTGGCCAGCGTGGGGACAGGAGGGCACAGCTTGAGGACGGCAGCGAGGATGGCGGTGGGAGGACGCGGAGAACCCGTGACACGTGCCTGGGGCCGGCGTGCTGGGGGCTGGCACTTACCACCAGCACGTTCCCTACGACACCGGGCCCCGAGTGCAGCTTCTCGGGGTGCTGAGCCCGCAGCGCCTGCAGGTACATGCACATGCCTGTGAGGAAGTCTTTTGGCTGCCCGATGTCCATCCAGAAGCCTGTGGGGACAGAGCCACAGTGACGGCCCCCAGCGCGGGGGCAGCAGGGGAGGCAGCCCCCCCCCCCATGCTGCCCACACCGTGTGCAGGGCCTTACCCTGCAGCTCCATGGCGTAGAGCTGCCCCTCCTGCGCCATGGCCGGGAAGATCTCCTTCTCGATGGAGGTGGGGCGCAGCTGCGAGGATGGGGCTCAGGGCTGAGCAGGGGACTCGGCCCCCCCAGCCCAGCCCAGCCCGGTGCCCTGGCCCCTACCTGGATGCGTTGCAGGATGCCAGGGCTGAAAATGTAGAGCCCGGCGTTGATCTTGTTGGACACGAAGACACGCGGCTTCTCCACGAAGCGGCAGATGCGGCCGGTGTCGGCCTCGCTCACCACCACGCCGTACTTGGCCGGCTCCTCCACACGGGTCACCACCAGCGAGCCCTCACCGCCGTGCTGCCGGTGGAAATGGGCCAGCGCCGCGAAGGGGAACTCGCAGATCACGTCACTGTTGAGGACAAAGAAGGGCTCCCCGCCCTCGGCCAGCAGGTCCCGTGCCAGCGCCAGTGGACCCGCTGCCCGGCCGTGAGTGACGCCGCAGGGACAGGGTGAGCCCAGTGCCCGGGTCCTCCTGGCCCCACCTGTGCCCGTCCCAGCATCCCTGCTCCCCACTGGCCCTCCCAAGCCCCCAGTCCCTCTGGATCCTCCACCAGTCCTGCTGTCCCTGGTCCTTCCTGTGCCTGTCCTGATGGCCCTGGTCCCTCTCATCCTGCCCACGCCATCCTGGCACAGCCTTCCCGGTGTCCCTGGTCCTCCCAGCCCTGCCCATCCATACCCACCCCGCTGCCCGTGGTGTCCCCCTCCCAGTGCCCCCAGCCCTGCCCATCCATACCCATCTTGCTGCC